AGGTAGTTGTCAGATAATACATGCAGCTAGTAACTTAGTTAAGTAGACCGAGCTTGTTTCAGTTCGGAAAGGCGAAAACATGGAAAACGTAGTTTTTTAAGTAAGAGAAACTACTCATGAGATTTAGTCTCATCACAAGTGTATGTACCTGCTTGTTTTCATAAAGTTCCAAAGTGCCCTGGTTCAAGTTTGTTTTTCCTTTCTCAAACCAAACATACTCAAGGGGTGAACAAAAACCTCAAAGAAGTTAGATGTAAGTTTTCTCTAATCATCAGAAAGCACACCCTGCAAGTAACTCATCCAACTAAAAACAGAAGAAAATGCGAAAAAAATTACCTTGTCAAGGGGCCCACTCGGATTCCTCCTCAACCTCCTCTCCTCGCCGGCCGTAGGTGTCGGGTGACGGCTACTAGACTTCATAGCCGGTATTGGTTTCAGCAGGCACAGTGATCTCTTCACGCATATGCGGGGGATAATTCCCCACGACTTCCCAGCCGCCTTCTTGACTCGCACTAGAGTACCCCTCTCCCCATCCTCCTCCTCATCCTCACTCTCCCCACCATCAAAATCGTCCGTCCCATAAGGCCGAAGTATCCCAGAAGACCCGTAAACCACTTTTTTCTTAACCTCCTTAACCGCTCCCTCGTCCGAGGGCCCCACCACCGCTGGCTTCTTGGCCGCGTACTGAGGGGTCTCCAGGACCACCACCGCCTTCGCCGCCGGCAGGAACCGGCTCATCATCAAGTCTCGAGTCTGCTTGTCGACTGAGAACCTTCCGGAAGTCCCGTGATTCCCACTCACATCGCTAACGCTGCACGAGTCGTTCAGCGAGAGCGCGTTTATCGCATCCGAATACGTTTCCTCCACGTTTTCAGCGTCCGAATTTTCGGACTCGTCTTTGCATTTCAAGCTCTCGTCTAGTTTCTCGATGAGGCTGGCGTGGTCGCCGTAGATGGTCGGGTTGGTGGGCCCACGGTCGAATTTGCGCTCGCCAGAGTGGACCCAACCGGGGGGAAGTCTGGGAGTGGTTGTGGTGGTAGGAAAGCGGGGTTTGGGTTTGGGCTCGTTCTTGGCCCGGCCAGGGGTTTGTTCCCAGTTGAATGGGACAGCGGCCGGTTTGGTTCGGCCCTCAGGTGGGACCCGTTTCTCGACAGATTTCCGATGGACGAGCTCGGATGACTTACGGGGGGATGATAACCGCCTTGCAGATAGAAGGGGTGCACTGAAATCCAGCTGCCTTTTCTCCATATGGGATATCAGAGCTGTGCTGTGTGAATTTATTTAGAAATTAGAAAAAAGGAAGAGAGAAGGAGGAAAAAGGCCTGATTAGTAGAGTTCATGTGATGAGAATGATTGACAGAAGAAGGAACAGTGATAAAAAGACAAAAACAAACAAAAAGAATATATGATGTTCCATACGAAACAAAATTCAAGAACATACACCAATCAATAACCAGGATAAAGGGTTTAAATTGTTCAAGAAAAACACATCAAAAAAAAAGGCAACATAATTTTTTTTTTCAATAAAATTACATCTACTCAATAAACCGCAATCAAATGCACATAATTAGATTTTTTTTCCAAAAATCCCACAAAAAAAAAGGAAAAAAGAAACTCGTCCTTTTTTCGCATTCTAAAAAAACCCATAAAAAAACCCACGATGGGTTTTTCTAAAAATCACAAAAAATTCGAACTTTATCCAAGAAAACACCAAAATAATACAAAAAAAAAAAATCCAAAATGCAGCAGTGTTAAAAACTCTTGAGGGAGAGCTTTGCCACCCTTTTAGTCCTACCCGGCTCGATTCCAGATTAGTCGGTTCCCCTGTTGATCCAGAAACCGGAAGGTCCCTGTACCAAAAAAAAAAAAATCCAATCTTTAATCTTTAGTTACCTGGGTCAGCACAGCAGCAAGACAGACAGAGCAATGTTGGGTTCTTTCTGTGAGTTTCTTCTCCCCGCTAATGGTGGCAAAACTAAAGGGGGGTAAAAGAGGGAAAAAAAAAAAGATAAAGAAAGGGAGAAAATAAGGCGACACGAGGAGTGCCTTTGCTTGTGCTTTTTTTCTCCAGTTATAATGAGTAGTCGGGATTATGATTTATGAGCCGCGCGCTGATTACTGAAGAAGAGTGACTGCAAAATTGACAAATTGATTTTCCTAACGTGGTGGGCCTCAATTGGCCATTTTTTATTATTTTTCCATTTATTATAATTATTTTCCGCTTTTGATTTTGCTACGGGGGGACAAGTACAAATGTGGATAATATAATAATATAATATGCCGTTGGATTACGTTGACGGTTGATTATAAATCTTCTACAACCTTTTGCCCTCGTGCCTGCTATTGTTTTTGTTTGTCCATTTTCAAAGTTACAAAAATAGTTAATGGGTAAATTGTGATTTTAGTTATCTAGAGTCTAGAAATTCTATGACACCACATGTGGCACCATATTATGGTGCCACAATATGATGTGGCACATTATGATTGGTGCCACAACTATCACACATCATGTTGTGGCATCAATCATAACGTGTCACATCATGTTGTGACACCATAATATGGTACCACATGTGGTGTCATAGAATTTCTGATCTAGAGTCTATTCAAAATCACCACCTTGGACACTAGCCCTACTTAGACATGGCCAAAACATGAGCCGTCAGGCTAAAAAACAGGGACTCAAAACCTGCCCGACACCTAGGCTCGTGCAGGATCGATGGCCTGGCGGGACGGATTGGGCCCGAGTTTGGGATTGTCCTAAAAAAATAATAAAAAAAAAACACAAAACAAAATATATGGTGGATTTTCGGGCCGGACCGGACCCAGCACGGCCCGTTTGGCCGAGTCGAAATAACATGGCCCTGAACCAACCCGGTTAAAATCCGAGTCGGGCCAGACCGGACCCAGCACGGCCCGTTTGGCCCGGAGTCGAAATAACATGGACCTGAACCAACCCGGTTAAAATCCGAGTCGGGCCTGGACATGTGGTCAATAGGTTTGACTGGGCCTGGTCCTTGCCAGGTTCGGGCAGGCCGGGCGACCTCTAGCCCTACTAGATATCTTAGAATAGGTATCCAAATTTCACCGTTCGATTGATTATAACTTATATTTCAAACCTACAGATAATGTACAAGGCAAAAAAGTATGTTGACTGCCTCGTACATTTCCTACATATGAAATAGCTATTATACCCTTAGGTTGATTTAAATTATAAGTTATTTGTTTCATTCAAAAAACTATAGCGTATTTAGTTTCTAGCTCATGTATATAATAAAAATAATAAAAAAAATTGGATAATTAAATTAAAAAACGTACTAAAATTGAACATCAACTTACTCTCATGTTATAAGAAACAACACGACGAATAACACAAACGTAGTTACTGATTGATGTTATATTCATTACGCCATCAATGTGACCACTCGATTTTGGGAAATAATTTCCATGATCACTTCGACGGGGTCACCAATAATAACTATATCGTGTTTGCAGCGGAACACCTCCTACATGGAGGACGTCTCGGCGATTCTCATTTTCCTATCCCCAAACATGCAGTGGTATTTGCGATTTATCCATTGTTGTATACATTGTTTAAAATCAATTTCTCTCAAAGCATAAATCGTCCAAAATCAATTCAGGATTCATCCTCAACAAATCAATCAAATTTATTCACAAACTGAAGACAAAACAACGTCGTTTTTCGTCCGAGATTGGAAAAAATTGGATGGAAATGAGATTGTGGCACTATCTGAGCACATGCTCTGGTGTTCTCTGCCCCGCACTAACGATTGGTTGAGATAGACATGAACAGGTGAGGTGATATTTCTCCGGTCATATCAGCTTTTTTAGGGTTGGTTTTTAGAACCTGTACACCGATTTGCAAAACACTGAAGATTATGATATAATTTGTAAAAGTGAAAAGATCGTGATTAAATTGTAATCTCATAAAGGTCGTGATATTACTGGCTATTTTGCCTTTTATAAGATCCTACTCAAACAATTCAATGAACCCTGATTTGCTTATTTGAACCTTTCTAACACGACGCTAATGCATTTCACTACAACTAAAAGTCTATAAATAATAATTAAAATTAAAAGAATGTTCTATTATATTGGTGAGTTATATTCTTGATGTATCGTTTTGCAAAGAAATGAGGTGGTAATACAATTTGTCAAAATTCGGATGTCGTAATTAATTTGAAAATTCATGTAAGCTTGTAATATTATGTGCAATATTCTAGGTAATGTGGAAAACAAATTTGGGACAACTCTTACAACGCTCTTCAAAAAAATCATATTCTGGAGATCAATATTTTTTATTTTCATGTACCATTTCGCAAAGAAGCAGAGCTGCTGATATAAATTGTCAAAGTCGAAAAGTCATGATTAAAATACAAATTTGCTAAAAGTCATGATATTAATGCAATTTTGCCAAAAACAAACTTTTTTTTTAACTAGAGTTAATTGTGAAAAATGTGATATGATTAGTTGTTAGCGGGATTTTGATTTTATATTAAAATAATATTTATAAAATAATTAAAATTGATTTGATATAAAAGTATGAGAGATATGTATGAAGTGATGATTAATTAAAATGATATGAGTGAATGGATAGTGAATTAAAGTTGATGTGATGTGTAAAAATGAATGGTTGAAATTATTTAATTATATTGATAATACTGAAGATAGTGGAGTTGAGTTAAAATTGTGTTAGTTGGTGGGGTTGAGTTAAAATTGAGTTAGATTTTGAGTATAAAATTGAGCGTGGGTGGAGGTTATTCATATGCAAACACACCCTAAAATTGTTACTTTTGATAAATCCAATCATATGTGTGGGATTTTTGTTTTATAAAAAATTATTATAATATTAGACTTCAACTTGTACAAGTGCAACGTGTTATTCAAATATAAATAATAATATGATTTTTAAAAAATATTTGAAATCTACGAAATACTGTTCTTTTTTTTTTCCTTGCAAACAAACTATTTCAATTAGTACTTATGTAAACACGAGTATTTTATGCTACTAATTTATTATATTTGTCATGTGCATTGCATGAGCTATGCAATAATCCTATTAAATTTTTTCGTGTAAGGCGGGCATAACCATTATGATGG